GTGTGTGTGTGTGTGTGTGTATGAGAGTCTTCTTTATGGCTGCTTTGTGTACATACAATATGTACACAAACTTATATTCTATCAGTGAGCATTCCATATTTCTACAATCTTAGATTTTATCATTTTTATGACTACAGATATTCCACTATATCTGTAAAATGGAGACAATAATATTATCGCCAATCTTACAGGTTTGCTTTGTGGATTAAATATATTCAGTGATAATTCAAAATGGCTATGCTGCAGAATCACGTGGAAGACTTGTTGAAAAGCAGTTTCTCAGGGTGTGGCCTCAGAAATTCCAATTCCATAGATTAGTTACGGTGCCCAAATTTGCAAACCTAATGTTACTGGTTTGAGGATAACACTTTGAAAGCCACTGAATTAACACAGGTAAATGTTCAGAATTGTGCTTGGCATATAGAGGAAGCTATATCAATACATGAAGCTATGGGGCTAGTTTTTGCTATTTTGAGTTAGAATATGAAAATTTACTTGTTGGATGTTTTGTTTAAATTTCTTATAACATTTTTATTGAGATATAATTCATATATTACAAAATTCACCCTTTTATAGTGTACAATTCAGTAGTTTTTAGTGTATTTGAAGTTGTATAACCATGACTTTTAAGTTTAGAACATTTCATCACCCCAAAAAGAAACCCCATACCTATTGATAGTCACTCTCCAACTCCTTCTGTAGTTTTTCAAACTTAGAATATCTGTAAACAAATATATATGTATATATACACTCATGTAAACATATATACACATATAAATATTTATACCTTTCTCTTTTTGAATGATTTTGTCAGAACAGATGCCAAGAGATAGATTCCTGAGTCAATAATTATGATTCCATTTATGTTTAGTGTGACGGTTAATTTTACATGGAAACCTGAGTCACTAGGTACACTGATATTTGGTTAAATAGTATTTCTGGGTATGTCTGTGTGGGTGTTTCCAGGTAAGATTAACATTTGAATCAGTAGACTGAGTAAAGGAGGTTGCCCTCCCCAGTGTGGATGGATGGGTCTCATCCAATCTGTTGAGTCCCAGAACAGGGCAAAAAAGTGGAGGAAAGGATTGTGGTCTTCTGCCCTCGGACTAGAACTTACACCATAGGTGCTCCTTGGTTTTCAGATCTTTGTGCTAGGGCTGCTACTGTACCCCAAGCATTCCTGAGTTTCCAGCTTACAAACAGCAGACTGCAGGACTTCTTAGGCTCCATAACCGTGTGAGCCAATGCCTTCTAATATCTCCAATTGGTTTAGTTTCTGAAGATCCCCGACTAATACATACAGCTATTCTTTGAACACATTGGTTCATAAATAGTCTCTTTCCTCCCCGCTATTGCTTTTTATTTTTAGCATGTTGCTCATTTCTTATACTGTTCCAGTTTTCTTAAGTTTGTGTCAACAGACTGCGAGGTCTGGGGGGGTCAGAGGCTGATTTTCATCTCTCTGTCCCCAGAGCTGCTGAAATGGAACAGAATATCGAAGAACTGTGGGACAATTTCAGAAGTTGTAACACATGCATAATGGGAAAGTCAGAAGTAGAACAGAGAGATAAAGGAGAATAAATACTTGACATAATAATGGCTGAGCATTTCCCAAAATTAATGACAGAAACCAAACCAAACGTGAAACCTAGTAAGATCAGAAAAACACTTAGCAGAATAAATATCTCTCTCTCACACACACACATACAACCCAAAACCAAAAAACAACAACAAAAAAACCCCCTATACTGAGGCATATCATATTCAAACTGCAAAAACCAAAGACAGAAAAATCCTGAAAGAAGTCTGAGGGGGGGGAAAAAAGAGAGAAAGAGAAAAAAATCTTTTATCTAGAGGAATGAGGAATGGATAGGAATTACAGTGCATCAAATGTTATTAATGACTGACAGTTTATGGACTTGCTAAAAGAAATAGAAAACAATAAATTTAATGATCTCATGTTCTGGCCAATACTTGTTGGTTGAGTCCTGGAAGAGTTTTACAAAGATTTACTGTACTGTTAACTCCAAGATTTTCTTATAACAAAAAGAATGACTGGCAAGTACTTAATTATCAAAACCAAAACAAAGCAGCATAATTTGTTTCCTCACTGACATCAGAATGCATATGAACAGATTAATTTTAAATTTCAAGGAAAAGAAAATCTTATTTGTGACCTAACAGGGCAAGTATGAGGATTTATGTTGAAATGGCAACTTTTCAGGATGCCTGGGTGGCTCAGATGGTTAAGCGTTTGCCTTCAGGTCAGGTCATGAACCCAGTGTTCTGGGATCAAGTCCCACATCCTTCCTGCTCAGCGAGGAGTCTGCTTATCCCTCTGCCCGCTGCTCTCCTTGCTTGTGCTCTCGCTTGCTGTCTCTGACAAATATATATGAAAAGGCAACTTTTCATAATACAAATCCTGACAAGCTGTACAAAATTTATTAATAGAATGAATAGGTTATCAAGGCACTCTGAGTTTCCACATGGGCTTGAAGCAGCAAACCAATGTTAAGAGGCATAGGGACTGGATACAACCCCTACCTATTCTTTCCGAGTCCCGCAAAAAATTTAGAAACCAGTATCTTCCCACCCTGGCTGAGATATGGGGGTTATTCCTTCCTTAATTCCAGAAGACAGTTCCAAGTCAGGAGATCTCATTTCTAGTCAGAGGTCAGCTCGCCCTTGCAGGACAAATTCAAGACCATTATCAGCCTCTGCAGAGCTTACTTCCTAAGGCAGGGGATGGAAGCAATTAATCCAGACTCAATTCACTTTACCAGCCTGTGAGAAGCAGGAGTGAATTGACATATTTTGAAATATGGAGAAAAGAATGAAACAAGCTGGATTTGGACCAAGTTCTGCTGCGGACCTGTGTGATAGGGACATGTCACATAAATCTTAACTGGCTTCCTCCTTTGTAAAACGCACTTTCACGTCCCCAAACGGGTAGGGATGAGGAGTGTTGGGAGTGGCACATGGGAGTGGCACAGGGTCTCCTCCGCACACCACGAGGAGGTGAGAGCGGATGTCCTGGGCGTCCGTTTGTAATCTACCTCGGGGCTTCTCTGGCCAAGGCTCAGAGACCGAGTGACCTCTCCAGGGTCACACAAGTCTACTGACACCAAGTCGATCCAAGGGCCTTGCGGTCTGTGAGGGATCTCGCGCGGTCTGTGAGGGATCTCGCGCGACCTGCATTGGAGCAGCGGCACGCTACCGCGTATCCGTAACCCAGCCACCCCAGAGAGAAGCCGAGGACTGCCACCTAGCGATCAGTTGTGGCCACGCAAGGGCAGAGTAATGAAAAAGACTGGGTACGGCGGTATCCGGGAAGCCAATACGTTCTCAGTCGGCTCTGCAAACGTCTTTTTGCCATTGGGCCTTTCTAATTGTCGATCAGTCACTTGGCTAGTTTTATATTGGTTTAGCTCCAAACATTCTACACAATCTGCTAATCACGTGTCCGTTTCCACGAGCTTTTTTACGTCATTAGATAGCTCCCTAAATCTGACAAAGATAGTCAGTTCTTCCATTCTATTGGCTGGATGTGGCTCCAATCCCGCACATCCTGTTCGGGTCGGAAGTGAGAGATCACTATTCCTATTGGCTTAGATTTACAAGTGGCTGTTGTCTATCAAGTCTATCGCCCAATGTTAGCTCAGAAAGTACCGCCCCGGAAGAGGCAGGCTTTGTGAAGATGGCGGCGCCGGGTAGTCCCGTGAGTTTGCTTCCTCGCGTTGCTATTGTGGGATTTTCCTATACCCTCAGCGGCCCTGGGCAAATTATTGGCGCGAGGGAAGGGAGTGATGAAAGGAAGCAGCCTCCTTGGCACAGCGGGGCGAGAGGAGGAGTAGGGTGACGGAGCTGAAGCTACCGCTTCTCTTAGAAATGTGGAGGATTGGCCGGCTTTGAAGCAAGGCTGCATGTGTACTGGAGTGGGAAAGTCGGAAGTCTGGGGTGTCTGAAGGAGAGTGTTTTCCACCCCCCAAATCTCATAATCCTGAGGAAAGAAGGGCTTTTCTTTATTTTCTCTCTCCCTCTCACAGGAGGTGCTGGAGTCAGACCTGCCAGGTGCTGTCACACTTTTGAAGAACCTTCAGGAGCAGGTGAGTCATATCACCCCTTTGGGACGGGTTAGTGACGAATTGGCTTTGGTTTTGTGTGCTTCACCTCCAAACTGTGGTCGTTTGAAGGCATGTATCGAATGATACCAAATACCTTGAGAGCCAGGTGACTTAATGAAAACCTTTTCAGGCTAGAATTTAAAGTAATTGATTTCTGCATCCAAAGCAATACAGAAAACTCCAAAAAGAAGTCGTCTGAATGATTTCCTTTTCTATTTATAGCTAAGGAAACCAGGGCTGGGAAAAGTGGTATGATTTGCCCTTAGGGTACCTAGGTGTACTGGTTGAAAGTTCATCCAGTACCATAAAGGTACAGCACCCTTCCCCCCACCACTGGCCCAGTTGCCATCCCTTCCCCCATGGTTTGGTATGATGGTTTCTGTAGCTTTAAGAAAAGGTGGAAAGTTTTTTGTACTTTTTGATGAAGTATCAAAAACCATCTCTGCTATACTTTCCCAGAACTGAAAAGAAGGTAGTGCTACATTTCAGGTAATGTTGCTGATGATTTTTAGGCGTCATTGTTTAGTTTTTGCCCTTCATAGGTCACAGAGATGACTTAGGTGTATTCTCCTCAGCTGTTTTATTTGAACTGATTTCAGGCGATGGCTGTAACTGCACAAATACAAGCTCTGACAAAAAAAGTTCAAGCTAGAGCCTACCCTACAGAGAAGGTAAGATATATTTGAAGAGGGGCACCTGGGTGGCTCAGTCGCTAAGCGTCTGCATTTGGCCCAGGTCATGATCCCAACATCCTGGGATTGAGCCCCACATCAGGCTCTCTGCTCAGAGGGAAGCCTGCTTCTCCCCTCCCACTCCCCCTGCTTGTATTCCCTCTCTCTCTGTCTTTCTAAATAAATAAAATCTTTAAAAAAAAAAAAAAGACATATTTGAAGACCTAATATCCTCTGGCTTGTTCTTAACAGTTCTTTTATCATAGGTTTATTGAGTGTCTTGTATGTCCTAAGTATTAGAGCTTCGAAGATGAGTAAGATCCAGTTTCCCTGCTGAAGTCTAGTGGAGAAGACAGATCAGAGCAATAGGTTTGAGCAAGAGCAGTCACTTCACAGTGCCAGAGAGCAGAGGAAGTGAGGGAAGGCTTCTCAGAAAATATGGATTATGAAGAATAAATAAGAGTCCATGGAACAGAAAGAAACAGCATGTACAAAGGCACAGAGACCTGAAAGCATGGTGATATCCTGGGGAAGGAGGTCATTTAGTGTGGTTGCCTGTACAGTGTGTTGGGGGATGGGATGGGGAGTAGGAAATAACACTAGAAAAGTAGTCACTTTCTGGGGCAAATAATACATTATATATTAATAAAAATAATTTAAGAAGAAAAGAAAAGTAGTCTCTCTTCGAAGAACCTTGTAGGCCATCTGAGGATTTACGACTGTTATTTCCTCTAACCTAAGATGCCGTTAACTGGGAACATACCGCTTACTTTGTATACTTAAAATGCTGTCGGTTAATCTATAATTTAACATTAAGATACCATTGATTAAAAGATACATCCTGACTTCAGAGATGTTAAAATACGGAAGTGGTGTGCATCTTAAAATTGAAATATGGTAGGGCGTTTATGTGGCTCAGTTGGTTAAGTGTCTGCCTTTGGCTCAGGTCATGATTCTGGGGACCTGGGATCAAGTCCTGCATTGCTTCGGGCTCCCTGCTCAGCAGAGAGTCTGCTTCTCTCCCTTCTGCGCATTCTCTCTCAAATAAATAAGATCTTTTTTAAAAAATTGAAATATGGTAGTTTTTAAATCAAGGTCTTGTAGAACCTTCTTAGGGATCATTGGATGTGAAGCAGTATAGAAGGAGGGCTCTGGGTCATTCATACCTGCTTGAACTGGAAAACTGTGGTATTACCTGTTTTATATATTGAGTTTTTGTCCTAAGGTGGTGTTTGAGCAAAAAATTCCATAGGTCAACAAAAGTATGGAAATCTTTATGGTAGCTTATTAGTAAGAGACATTGAAGGATTTTTTTTTTTCCCTTAAGTAGGTGCCACACCCAGTGGAGTTGGAACCCAAAGTGGGGCTTGGACTCATGACCCTGAGATCAAGACCTGAGCTGAGATCAATTAAAGATTTTATTCTTTTTTTTTTTTTCCCCAAGATTATTTATTTGAGAGAGAGTATACAAGTGGAGGGGAGAGGGAGAATCAGACTCCCCACTAAGTGGGGAGCTTCATTCGGGCCTGGATCTCAGGATTCTGGGATCATGACCTGAGCCAAAGGCAGACGCTTAACCAACTGAGCCACCCAGGTGTCCCTAAAGATTTTATTCTTAAGTAATCTCTGCATCCAACATGGGGCTTGAACTCACAACCCTGAGATCAAGAGTTGCATGCTCCGTTGACTGAGCCAGCCATGCACCCCTACAGCTAATAGAATTTTTAATATATTCTCTTTTTGCCTTTTCTTTGTCATCATGCAGTTTTGTTTTTAGCTATTTTTATTTTTTCATCTTTGTGGGTTTTTTTTTGTTGTTTTTTCTATATGCTTGTCACTCAGTTTGAACTTAACAGTGTCCAAGCTCATCAGAAGAACCTGCTTCTCAAATTCTTGGCTAGTTCTGCGCCACCAGCGTATTTATTAGATCACTCACTATAGCGGCACCTGGCTGGCTCAGTCAGAAGATCACGTGACACATTACAAAAAAAAAAAACCCAGAAAAAAAAAAACCAAAAAACTTATATTAGATCACTATATATTTATTCATTGAACAGATACTTAGTAACTTATACCTCAGGACCAAAACCTTACAAGGCGCTTTACAGGTTACAGAGTGCATTCCTCTTTTATTTTATTTAAGCCTCATAATTACTTTTTTGGGAAGGAAATACTGTATGTGTTATAAATGAGGAGACTGGGGTCATAGGGTTAAGTGACGTACCCATTATTTGACTACCAAATGCCTGATTCAGAACTTAAACTCATTTTGTCTGTCTTTAAAATCTTTGCTCCTCCTCCTGTTATCGCACTAGTGCTGATCTCAAGAGCTTTGGATGTTGGTTTAAAGATACCTAGAGCTTAGGTGTTAGGCTGAGTTTGAATCCCAGCTCTACTCCTAATAATCTGTAGTTGTAGATAGAATATGTAGTCTCTCTGAAATAGGTCTTCCCAGGGCTGTGGACTTTTACAGTTCCATTTTATGTCATCACAAATTTTTTTTTTTTTTTAACTTAAGTCTGCTCATGTGTTACTTTCTCGTGTGTAAAAGAATAAACTCCTATAATGTTTGCTTGATTTTCTGACTGTAAATATAACGTGTGTTTTAATTTTAGAAAGTTTGGAAGATGCATAAAACCACAAAAGGAAAATTTAAAAACAGTGTAATCATAATCTGAGATAACTTCTGGGGTACATGTTTGGAAATTTCTTTTATTGTAAAAGTGGTAAATGCTTGATGGGAAAATGCTTTCACAGTGTGCACACTCCATTTCTTCCTTTTCCTCATCTGGATCCCCAGTGGTAGCAGTTGTTAATAGCATGTTATTTTCCACAGATTTCTCTCTGTATATAAAATGTGTGGAGGCACCTGGGTGGCTCAGTCAGTTCAGTATCTGACTTCAGCTCAGGTCATGATCCCAGGGTCCTGGAATCGAGCCCTGTGTCTGACTCCAGTCTCCCTCTCCCCTTCCTCGCGTGCATGTGTTTTCTCTCTGTCTGTCTCTCTCTCTCTCGCTAATAAATGAGTAAAGTTAAAAAAAAAAAAAAGATAAAATGTGTGCATCATACTTACTCTGCCTTAACTGGAAGCATATTATAGTGCAGAAAGTGTGCTGACATGGAATTAAGTCCAATTAAGTCTATATATGTAGATTATTGTTTTTAAATGTATTGCATAATTCCATTGTATGGGGTTAAAATGAATAATTCTTTTCATTAAATTAACTTAAGATTCAGCACTGCATGGAGACAGTTTGATCATCAAAATTTGGAGGGCTCCTGAAGTGTAGAGGCCAAGGATGCTGCTCAACATCCTTCAGGGCCCAGACAGCCTTCCCAACAGAAAATTGCCCCTTCCCAAATGTCAGTGGCTCTGAGGTTGAGAAACCATGTCATTGTTATTTTGGGGGTTGCTTTATTGATTTTCCTGTTCTTACTGTCTTCCAGTAATTCTTACAGGTTTGCCTCTGTCATGTTAGCATAGTTGTCGCTGGGGCCATTTAAGGTAGAGTCACCTCCTTAAGACTCTTCCAGATACCTTATAGGAACTGATTGGGAAAAACATAAACTTGGAAAAAATTATCCTGTTTAACCTACGCCTTCCTTCTGATTTTCTAGCTAAAAATGAATTTGCATCTCTTACTCTGTTTTTCACCTCAGGGTCTCAGCCTCTTGGAAGTAAAAGACCAGCTACTGCTTATGTACCTTATGGATTTGACCCATCTCATCCTGGACAAAGCCTCAGGAGGGTCTCTTCAGGGACATCCTGCAGTTTTGAGACTGGTGGAGATTCGCACGGTATGAAGCACTTGGCATCTTAGTGTTCTAGGTTTCCACAGCCTAAACTCTAGGACTGTCACACAATAGCTCTCATTTAAGTGGGTGTTTTCATGATTAAGTGAGGAACCAAATGAAAAAACTGTTTTCTCATTCATTTGTTCTAGTTTGTCAATATTTTAGGTTCTTTATCTGGCAACTTAATATAGAGACTCTGATGTATGTTTAATTTTGGGAAGGGAATGTAATCCTACTTAACCACATTATAGGTTTTGGAAAAGCTTCGTCCCTTGGACCAAAAACTGAAGTATCAAGTTGACAAACTAGTCAAGACTGCGGTGACAGGCAGCCTCAGTAAGTGGCAGAAGCTATAAGGTTATGTGGAGACTGTCATAAATTTTTAAATCTTATATTTTGGGTTTTTTATTTCAGGTGAGAACGACCCACTCCGTTTTAAGCCTCATCCCAGCAATATGATGAGCAAGGTAGGGAGTTGCATTATCCCAGTTTTCCTGAGGACTCTAAGCCTGAATGAGCCTCGTGGGAGATCCCAGATCTCCTGGGATTCTCTTACTACTGTTGACTTCCATCTTGTGCCTTAGAATAGAGTGTATGAGGTTTTCCTTTCTTACTTTTGTTTATATTCTCACCTCCCCAGGCTACTCTAGCTACTCTAGTTTTTCTTATTGTCTAACATTTCCTAAGTTTATGGGCATTATGTTCTTTTGTAGTTGAGCTCTGAGGATGAGGAAGAAGATGAAGCCAAAGAAGGCCAATCTCCAGCTTCAGGGAAGAAATCTGCAAAAGGAACGGTTAAGAAATATGTTCCACCACGCTTGGTTCCAGTACATTATGGTATGAACTGTGGCTGCTGCCTCCTCAGCATAAATTGTGTTTCTCTTTTCCTTTTCTCTGTTCTGGGATAACCCTTGCTGATTTTTTATCACATAGATGAAACAGAAGCTGAGAGGGAGAAGAAGCGCCTAGAACGGGCCAAAAAACGGGCATTGAGCAGCTCTGTCATTCGTGAACTGAAGGAGCAGTACTCAGATGCTCCAGAGGAAATCCGTGATGCTCGGCATCCTCATGTTACTCGCCAAAGTCAAGAGGATCAACACAGGTCTGAGTCCTTGCAGTTGGAAATTGTTTTCTACACCATAGAAAGCTGTCCTTATGTTTTGGATGAATGTGATTAAGTCTGGTACCAAGGGAACTCACATTGTAGAGAAAGTGGAGTGAAAGGCTGATGGTTTCGTTTCATTTCATTTCTTTTCTTTTCCTTTTTAGAAGATTTTATTTATTTATTTCACAGAGAGACCATGAGAGAGGGAACACAAACAGGGGTAGTGGGAGAGGGAGAAGCAGGCTTCCTGCTGAGCAGGGAGCCCGATGCAGGCCTTGATCCCAGGTTCCCAGGATCATGACCTGAGCCAAAGGCAGATGCTAACAGCTGAGCCACACAGGCACGCCCCAGGCTGATGGTTTCTAAGAATGAGGGGTGTTAGGTACAGAATAGAGGAAGAATATTTTCTTTTTCCCAGCTGTTTAGGCTGTTTAGGCTGAACGAATGCTATAGGAAGAGGAATATATGCAGTTCTATCCACTCTGTGGGGCTTAGAAATTCTGTATTTTGCTATCACAGTTCTCACTTTTGTTCAGAAGGCAATGAAGTCAGATTTCTAAAATGGCATTGGGAGTGATAGGTAAGTTCAGGGAAGAAAAGCAAAAAAGCAATTGTAATACGAATACAGACTCACCAATTTTGCCTTGGTGGCAATCTCTGTTGATAGATTTGAGTGAAGGGGCCCATGTAGGGAATCCTGTTTGTGAAGGTGAGGTAGAAGAGGTTTCTAGTATAATAGCTTAAGTATTCTTGTGGATGGACTGTGAGTTCATTTCTAGGGAAGAGGGAATTTCTGGCATAAAGAACATTTTGTTGAAGAAGCGCAATATTAGACATCTGATTTGCTCTTAATACTCCATTGACTTGCTGTGAAATTTCTTGAGAACTATATGAGTAGGGGGGTGAGTAAATACCTGGGCCCAGGTTCTTGGCTGCAGCTTTCTGTGTGTATGGACTAAACATGTTGTAAACTGTTTCTGCGGCAGGATCAACTATGAGGAGAGCATGATGGTGCGTTTAAGTGTCAGTAAACGTGAGAAAGGACGGCGAAAACGGGCAAATGTCATGAGCTCACAACTCCATTCCCTCACACACTTCAGTGACATCAGTGCTTTGACAGGAGGAGCCCCTCATCTTGATGAGGTGAGGTTGTGGGTACAGTGGTGGGAGATAGCCTCCTGGATTCCAGCCAGGTGGATGTGGGGCTCATTACCATGCGGAATGCAGGAAGGGATGCTAACCCTTGGACGTACACCACCATTCCTTCACTTCTCCATCTGTCTCCAGGATCAGAATCCTGTTAAGAAGCGGAAGAAGATACCAAAGAAAGGTCGGAAGAAAAAAGGTCAGTCAGTGGCTAGGACTTGGATGGTGAAGTGCAGGGTGGGCCGTACAAATTGGGATGTCAGCTCTCCAGATTTGCCCTCCTAGGTCTCACCAACCCCCCTAGTATCTCTTCCTGACTGGGCATTCATCTCTTTAGAGGTGGGCTTCGTTATTCTTTGTCAAGCTGAAAATCAGCATCATTCACAAACAAGATTTCTGGATTCTGTCTCTAAGATCCCACAGTTTGTATGCAGGCTTCCTTCAGTAGAACTGTGGTAGTACCACTTGAAGGAACCGTTATCATAGTTCAGTTTCATTCCTACTTCTAGTCTTTTGTCCTGGGATGATGCAGAAAGTACTGCCCAGGGGACCAGCCCTTCCTGAGCCCTTCTCTCTAAGTGTTCTTTTTTTCTTGTCCCCTCAGCTTTTCCAACTGTCCTTTGCCTCATTCTTGGTTTCCCTTCCTTTCAGGTTTTCGGAGGCGGCGGTGATTGTGGGTGTACATGTTTATATTGTATTTGTTGTCTTCCTGGGATACTTCTAATTTCACTGTATGTAGGGTTTTGTTTTTTTTTTTCCCCTTGAAATTCATTGTTTGCTCTGGACATATGGAAAGATCTTTATTAATAAAATTGATTTTACTTATGAATTGAAGCCCCTTTTGCACATGTATTGTATGACTGGACTCACTGGGTGTGGGGTATTTTGGTGAGAGGGTGATAAAAGGGAAAGAGGAAAGATGAAATTTTGTGGGGGGAATGAGAAGTTTGGCTCTATACAGTTTCCTTTGATAGTATATTTTCCTCAGACTGTAAATTGGTCACTTAACAGAAAGTATTGGGGGATTAGAGTAATATAATCCACTCTTCCAACCCACATTGCCCCAATTTCATGTATGATTTGTTATAATTTAATTCAAGTCATCTTAAATATGTGGGTTTTGTTTTGTTATTGTATCTTGCTGGCCACCAGATGGCATCAGTGGTTCAGGAAACTTTTGGTGCTTCACTGGCAAAAGCTAGGTAGAACGTTTCCTTGTCCACAAGTTACTCTTCTCTCTACATTTGATTGTTTTTCTTTTCTTTCTAAAATAGTATAAACATAGAGCTGATCTTTGGTCAGTTAAAGAATTAATCTGGAGAGAATAGCAGAGTGAATGAGAAGACTAGAGTATGAAGAATCAGCATAGTCTTATATTTTGTAGCCTTTGACCCTCCCTCAACTAAGGCCCTAGTTTACCAGTTATTAAAGGCCAGTACTTTTACAAAGAGCTTACAGAGGAGTGCCAAAAATAGGCAGACAATATTCCTAGTTTGAAGACCAAAAGAATGAGAATCCCACAGAAATAAAGCCTAAGTCAAGGGATTGGTAGGAGTTATGTATCTGAGATCTTGTATTCTGTCCACAGAACGACCTCTGTTGGTGGGAGATAGTTCAGGCCTTGGATAATACAGAAAGTGAAAAGAGGAACAGGAAGAGACAGAAGTTGAAGAATCTGTAGAATAAATTCACTAGAGTATAAGGGCTTGGGATTTCATGAAAAGCTAATTTTGTGTCTGCATTCCTGGGCGGTGGCATGGAGAAGGTAATTAGGTTATTAAATCACTAAATCCTTGTTGATTCTGAGTCCTGTGGATTTGGATTTACACTGGTCAGCCCAACTGGGCGGGGTCTGTTTCTGGTCAACTGTAGCCTGGTAGAAAGTAGGAGACAACCTATTACTGTCTTCTGTTCACTCTGTGATCTTGGGCAGATCACTTAACATCCCTGGCCTTTAACTTTCCTCAGCTGAGAAATGAATGTGTTAGACTGAATCTCTGAGATTCCCTCCCCCTTATTTCTGGGGCCTTGATCTTTTAGTGCTTGGCAGATCTGAGGGAGCCTGACCTGCCCAGTACCCTCATACTTCTATTTGCTCCAATGAATCTAAGCAAAGAGTCACAAGAACAGATTTAGAGATTCTTTTCCCTTTCTGGCGGAACTAACTGGACAGGAGGTTCAGTTCAAAAACGCTTTAGTTAGGGGACGCCTGGGTGGCTCAGTGGGTTAAAGACTCTGCCTTCGGCTCAGGTCATGATCCTGGGATCCTGGGATCGAGCCCCGAATTGGGCTCTCTGCTTGGCAGGGAGCCTGCTTCCCCCGTCCCACAAAATCTTTAAAACAGAAACAAAAAAAAAATGCTTTAGTTAGGATCACCACATTCACTTCTTAGGACTAACTGTTGCATTTGTTTCTAATTTATCAAAATTTTTGGGTTATGGGCACTGCCAAGGAAAAGGAGTACTTTTTTTTTTTTTTTTATCCTTTTTCCTTTTTTTTTTTTTTTTAGAGATTTTATTTATTTATTTGACAGAGAGAGAGAGACAGTGAGAGAGAGAACACAAGCAGGGGGAGTGGGAGAGGGAGAAGCAGGCCTCCCACCGAGCAGGGAGCCCGACTCGGTACTCGAATCCGGGACCCTGGGATCATGACCTGAGCCGAAGGCAGATGCTTAACAACTGAGCCACCCAGGCGCCCCTTTTTTTCCTCTTTTTAAGATCTTCCTTTGTGTTATATACTGAGCCACGCACTTTACACATAACCCTTAGAAATTATATACCACCAGTATTTTACAGTGAGGAAACTAAGACACTTAGGCCGTTTGCCCAAGGTTACATGGCTAATAAATTAGACAGCCGTGCTTGAAGAACAGCGTGGAGACCCTCAAGTGTCTTGGGGCTCATGAAAATCTTCAGGTTGTTTTTTTCCTTTTTAAAAATAGTGATAGGTAGTTTATAGCCTTTAGCTCCCGCTTCCCTACAGCCCCATTTCTGTTCAAGGTCTTGCTTTCAAAGAAACCACAAGTTCCAGATACTCTTCTGCCCTCTTGGTGGTGCACCAGTGAACTGAACAAACAAAAGCCCCTGCCTTTGTGAATCTTATATTAATTCAATCCAGTCTTCAATCCCAGGATGTCTTGGTTACCCTGGTTTTCTAGATGATAGGCACTACTTGAAAGATGTTTCCAACAAAATGTTAAATAATTTCTGAGAATATTTGCCCCAGGGTCATCAAATACCATTTAGGGAACACTGCTGACAAAGTTTTACTGGGATTTGCAATATGTAAAACAAGCGTAAGTGAAGTTACTTTAGTTAAAGTGGGGATGAAAGATAGCCTGCTTTCCCCAAGATTTCTGAGTAGTTCCAAGCAGAATTTTCAACTCCATAGAATGTACTTTGAAAACTACTGTTAAATAGTAGAACAAGGGAACTAAGAATTTGAATCTCAGGATTACTTTATGGCTGTTCGCTTTTCTTCTATCCTTTATTCCTCCTTGTAGATTCGGTTCTTTGATTGTTCAGACCACATAAATGTCAGATTTCTTCAGTGCAATGCTAGCAACAGATCGTTTCCAATGTTCACTAAGTAATGTCTGTCATTAGTGCATATGAGCCCCTGTTCAGTTTTTGTAATGGTAAAGAGAGTCTTGGCCTTGCTCTAGTCGAGTAATTTAGTGTCTTTCTCTGCCTTAGTTTTTTCATCTGAGGGGTGAAGGAGAGTTTGACCAAGACCTGGTTTTGCCTGTTATTGTTAGTTTTATGAAGGCTTGGGGAAGTGTCTGTCAGGAGTTCACAGCAGTCTTCATGGATATATATTTTTTTATTAGAAAAAACATATTTTGTTTACAAGGAAGGGATAATCTCATTGTGTCCATTTTCAGTACCACGGAGAGTTCTGGCTTTCCCATCTTTTTGGTTGCCTTGGGTTGGTGAAAAGTACATGGCTAAACCAATCCATAGAGCTGCATGGTGGAGATCTGCCACTTTGCAGAGCCCGGTTTATCTGTCCAGTCTCCAGTTCTGATTGGTAGCAGATTGAGTGAGGCTCAACAACAGTTCTGAGTATCCCTGTCCTCCCTGCAGTCTCTTAGGTGTGTATATCTCAGATCCATGTTTAGATTTATCCAAGGATTTGGCCAACTTGATGGAAACATGTGAGTGAGTGAACTGCCTTCTCCTCTGCTGGTAACATCATTCATATTGTGATGCACAAGATTTTAAACAACCCTTGAGAGGAACTCTGTCCCCTATTCTTTGCTTACAGACCCTTGAGGAGACTTAAACTTGCTCTTTGATTTCTTGTGCTCAGCCTCTCTTTCTGCCTCTGCATGGAGAAAAGCATCACTGCTCTGGCTCTCTGCCCAGTCTTGCTTTTGTATTTCTTTGATCTCATTGTTGAGAGGGTCTCAGAGAAGCCCCAAGAGCCGTGCCTTCGCATGTTTAAGCTATTGATGCTCTTGAAATAACAGAGCCTTGCTGTGTAAGAAGTATATTAAAGGTCTGTCCTGAACAAATTTGGGTCAATAGGTGGCAGTAGTCACCTAGTCCCGAGGCCCTGACACCCCCTGAACACAAGCACATTTGATGGCCATTATATTTAAGGTTGTGAGAAAGGAGGTCACATTGAAATAAAAATGGGGGAAAAACCATCCCTTTTTGGTGGAATCCAGGAAATGCTGAAATGTACTGGGTTAGTTCCGTGGGGGTGTCGTATGGGGGAGATTGCAAACAGCCCGAAGGGCCCTGGTAGGAAGCAGCAGGGCCTCAGGATTGGGGGAGGACTTCATGGGTACTGAGGTTTTGAGAGCTGGAGTAAGACCGTGTTAAATGAGGACCAGTGCTGAAAAGAGAGTCGGGTTGGGGGGGGAGTAGAGAGGAAAAGAGGTGGAGGAGGGAGAGGCAGAGCTGTGTGAAGGGACCAGGGAAGGGGTGGGCTGTGATGGGGAGGACTGCGGTTAGAGGGGGAGGGGAAGGCTGCTGCAATACTGAGCCCATCGAATGGGGGAGGGGGGGATAGTTGTCTGTGCTGCAGCTGCATTGGCTCCCTTCCCCCACAATTCCAGGGAGCTGGAGCAGTGCTGGCAAATCTGTCTTCATGTATTTATTATTATTAAAAATGTGACGGATCCTTCCTCCCTGGAAGCACAACAAATACCACTGATCACATTTCTCTCCCTCTCCTCCCTCTGCAGAGCTTTTGCATTCTCTCTTTCATTCTTTCTACCCCACCCCCCTCCCAGGTCTGTTTGACTGGTGGTGGTGTGGGGGGGACCCTTCCTTTTCCTTCTCTGAGCTTGGTGGCTCCCTGGGGGTTTCTAATGATGGTTGGGAGTTTCAAGGCGATGCTGGGAGGAAGCAGCTGAGTGAGGGGCATCCATTGCCCCAAGGAGGGAGCTATGCTCCAACATCCACTGGGGAAAGGAAATCACTAGGAAATAAAGATAAAATCCTTTCTCAAGCTAATGAAAGAAGAAGCAGCTCACGAATTCCTTTCAGTACCTCGCATTTCTTCCCTCTCATACCCTTTTGTACTGCCTTAATTCCAAGGGGGAAACCCCCTTGGAATGGAAAAAGCCAGGAGTTCTGTGTCCTCTTTCCCTTACCTTGTTAAGTCCCTCTTTTCCCAGGAGAGCCATATAGAATTTATTCTTTTAGCCTGCGAGTTGGTTACCGAGAGGTTTGAAGGGCAGAAGCCATAGCTTCTCCCTCCCTGCCCGCACCCCAGACTCCCCATGCCCAGGTGGGGGCCTCTTTTGTTGCTGTCTGTAACCCTTCGCCATGCCCATAGGTGGTGCTGCTGTTGCTCTGCGTGCTGGCCCTCCTCCCCCCCCC